ATGTTTTTTGTTTTATTTTTTTGCAAGAAATACTTGTTATGTTACTTTGTATTTTTTTTACAAGAAAAATAAAAAAATGTGTTATTATCTTTATCTTGAAAAGCCTTTTATTTTTTATTTTGTCTATTTTTTTATAACTGTATTTTCTGCCTTTGTTTATTTTTTCGACAACAAAAAACGAGGACTCGCGCGCTATGGGGTTCAAACTCAAGACCTCCCCCTTAAAATCGAAGATGTCAATCAACACCGCCACGTCACCTAATGTGAATATATTAGCTTCTATAATAATATATATGCAATCGTTTTGCTTTAATGATTTTTGTTGGAATTATCCCACATCGAAGGAGCGTTGTTTTGTTATCTACATATTCATGTGTAATAGATATTACATTGCGCATGTAGAAAGCGATGGGGCCGACATGTGAGGTGAGTTACCACGTGTGAAGTTTTTTAGGTGCCACGTGTTGCTCCCGTGAGGCGGCCACGTATAAGACTCACGATTCCAACAGTAAATCGCCCGCGGCCACGTGTAAGACTCATGATTCACTGTTAGGAATTGCCCGGTTCTCACGTGTAAGACTCGCGATTCACTGTTGGGAATCACCCGGTTCTCACGTGTAAGACTCGCGATTCACTGTTGGGAATCGCCCGGTTCTCTTTGGACACGAGCGATTCTCGATTTTTTCGTGGAACCGGCTCGGTTGCAGACGATTCCTGAGTCGAACCGGACGTGTCCGGCTCCACTCGACGAGTTTTCAAACCTTGATACTGAGTGATATATATATTTAGAGTTTTAAAATTTCTAATATTTTAAATATATCTGATTTTTTGAGCCTCATATAGATTATTGTTAGGACTCTATACGAAGAAATTCCAACGAACTAGTAAAATATATAAATTAATTTTTAAATAGTAAGAGTTAATTCAAAAGAAAGAAACAAAAAAAAAAGGAAAAAACGATTTCTTAGGGGAATTTGTTTTCATCCTTTACATCCAAAGAAACCGTAGAAACTGCAGTTTGATGTAAATTATTTTAAGTCCCATAAATATAATAGTTTTTAAAAAATAAATAAAATAAAATCTACAAATTTATAGTAATTGGAAAATGAATAATAAATATTAACTATTTTCAAATAGTTTGTATATGCATACAAGCTTTAATAAGGAGAAATTATATTTAATTCCATATTTTTAAATTACTCAATTTGAAACAAGGAATTAAAAATTCAAAAAATAAAAAAAAGTGGTCAGTCTTACTTTTTTAAATAAAAGACAACTTTTTCATAGTCTTGTATCTCAGTGTCCACAGACTCTTCCAAGCGACTTGGCACGGGCTATGGCTGAGGCGAGTTCCAATGATCAACTCGACCTAGTTGAAACTTAAACAAGAAAACAAACAATTATTGTTTACAGATCACAATAGTATGATCTAGAAATACCTCGTTACATGGTCAATAGGTTTTTATGATGATATAGGTATTTTACTTATTAGATGCCCAGTTTTTTATTAGGAAATATTTCGACATAAGAATAAAAAATTTCAATAATCCATATTGTATTATTTTTTCATCTTTTATAGACTTTTAATAATTTATATTACATATTATATTTTTTTTATTTTTAATTATTTATAGTATTTATATATATATACATATTTTTTGATTTGGGCATTTTTTCCCTGTACAAGACTCAGCTGAGTCGACTCAGATTCAGCTATGTTATTGGCTCGGGCCACGGCCAAGTCCAAGGCCTGAGCCGATTTTCAAAACATTGTTGTATATGCATGAAAAATTTAGAACGCCAACCAAACTCCTATTATCAATATATTATTTACACTATCTGAATTTTGAAAAATAAAATAGTCCAATCAGGATAAAGAGTCCATTATGGTTAGGAGTCCCATTGGGTGTAGAATTAATATGGAATAAGCTTCGGGATTGAATTGTACTAGTTCGTTAGAGTTCTATTGTAATTAGGAGTCCGTTTAGATGTAGAATAAATATGGTCTAATTTTTTGAATTAAATATAACTATTCAGTTAAGGTGTATTGTAATAAGGATAACTGTTGCAATCCCATTAAGATAGGGAGTCGAAGAGATTAGGGTTAGGATGGCAGGCCACATAAGTACTATTTAAATTAGGAAGTGTTTAAGTAGCAGGCGATATGTGATGAGAGACGAAAAGGCAAAGATAAAGAAAGCAGAAAAAGCGAAGATAAAGAAGGCAATTGAAAAGGGCAATACAAATGGTGCTCGAATTCATGCCCATATCGCCATAAGAAAGATGACAGAGCAACTCAACTTCCTTCACTTTGCCTCTCGACTCGATGCCGTGGCGTCTAATCTTTGTAGCCAGAGAAAGGCTATCAAAAACCAATGGCGAGCATTGTTCAGTCCCTTCAGGAGGCCTTGCCAGTGGGAAACATGGAAAAAATTTCTCTCACAATGGACAAGTTCGAGAAACTTTTCACAAACATGGAGGTCCAAGCAAGCTTCGTCCAGTCTTTGATGAAGAAAATAAAAAAAAGAAAAATCTGCACGGAGTTTTGAGGGAGAGAGAGAGATAGACAGAAGTTAACGGATTAAAAAAAAACGATTGTTGAGAGGGTGTTATTTTATTATTGTTGTTGAGTAAAAAATACATGAAGAGGGTGTCATTTTATTATTATTATTGAGTAAAAAATACATGGTAAAAAAGATACGGGAGGTTGGACGATAGAAAAAATAGAAACCCTATGTTACAAGTAATATCATGAATCTTCTCTATGCTACAAGTAATATCATGAATCTTAAAGACTAATGAGAATCGAATAGAAAAGATAGAAACCCTAATTTAAGGTTCTTGTTAAATTCAGTTGTTTGCGGTGGAGAATATTTAGTTCAAAGAATAATTAATTATTATAAAATGTCACTGGTGTGCTTTGCATAGGAGAATCTTTAGTTCAAAGAAAAAAAAAGAAGAGGGTAGCAATATTTAAGGTAAATATTTAAAAGGCAAAGCGTTAATAGAAAGAATTGCTTTAACATTTCATCAAGTAGAATAATGTAAGGAGGGAGGTAGAAAACGCAATAATTTGAAATGCCAAAATCCGAAAATGATGGGTGGATCGATTACATGGGAGCTCAAGCGATTTTGCTATTGATGGTCCACCCTAGAAGAATTAAACCATCACAGTTGACAAGTTATTACATTTTCTGAATTACCTTAAAAAAATTTGTATAAGGGGAAGGGAGGAATTGCCCAAAACTACAATTCTGGGTAAGTTTTGAGGTATATGAAAACAAATAGATGTATTGTGCTTATGAATAAACAAAAAACTTAAAACCCCTTCTTCTCTCCTCCTCCTCCTTCTCCTCCTCCGTTTCATCATCGTCGCCACGCGATCGACAAAACAAGAAGGCGAACAACCCTACAAAGACAAAGACGAGATCCATCCCCACCCACCATCTGCAACACCAACCAAAACAAACACAACAATTATAAGAATAAGAAGAAGAAAAATTGGAAAAAGGGTTTGTATGTGAATAAAGAAAGTGGTGAAATTGGAGGGCCAATGAGAGCGTAAAGGCCAATGCTTTGATTTCTGATTATCCTTCTACTAGGATTTTTCTTTCTGTTCCTTTAGGTACCCTTTTTCCTCTTTTGATTTGCTTCTTCTTGTGTTTTGGATCTTTAGATGAATAAATGTTGTGATATTTCGGTCTCGAATTGCAGAGGGGTGTTCCAGTTGATTGTTCTTCTATTTCTAATTGCGCTACCCTTTCTTTAGGCTCTGGAATCCTTTATAGAGGATTAAATTCTTTAGAATCTAATGGAGAGGATTATATTATTTGTTAATGGAACTTCATATGTGTTTTCGATGCATGGCCTGCAAACCCTAGTGGTCTCTGTTTATGTGTTTGTTCTCTCCTTCATTGTGTTCATTGAGTTTAGTTGCGAGAATTATTTGGCCTGTAAAGGCTTCATCCCTGTGTATAAATTCGCTAGAGAAGTTGTTTCTCTGTCATTCCTAGAACAGTTTTGTTTTTCGAAGTTTCTCCATATCTATTGGTCCAATTTTCAAAGGTTTAGTGGATCTGCAAGGGCAGGAACCTGTATTTTGGTTGTATGAGTGATTGGTGCTGTGAAGCATCAGCCATGGGTGTTTAAATGTGAAATTAACTGAGTTGTTGTGATTTTTCTGTTTAGAATTCTTGACATAGGAGGAATTGCGATTTTTTTAGGCAGAAGATGCCAAAAGCTGAGCAGGGTTGTGATGGTCCAGCCTAGAAGAAGCCCCCTTACTGAGGCAATTAGAAAGATCTTATCTTTCTAGGAACTGATCGTCATTGTGAAAGAAACCATTTTTGTGGTAGTTCACTCTGAAAGGCATTAACGCTTTCTTAGATTACTCATTTTAGTAGTTTTCTGATGCTCTGCTTCCAGGAAAAGGGAAAAACATATCATAGAGATCTCTGAAGAAGAGGTTTTGATTACTAGAATCACTGTTCGTATTCATATTTGTCCTTTTTTATCTTAATAAACCTATCTAAAATTCCTTGAAACGGTTGTACGAAGTGGTGTTGTAATGGTGAGTGGAGATTGTTTTTCAACTTGTCTGCATCGGTCAATCGAATCACTTTGTGAACCTACTCTTCATCCGCTGCATCAGTGTTGTGAGCCTGTTCTTACTCCGCTGCATCATGTGGAATTTGACTGCTATAAACTTTTAGTAAGTACATAGATATCCTTTGGAAGCAGCAATTACCCAAAATATAGACTGCGCAACTCAAGAAATATGTCAAAGACCTCCAAAAGAGTTGATGTTTCCTAAGGAGCCATTGTTATCTCTATTTCAACCTATTCAAGCTGCTGTTTATGGAACATCCATGGCATATCTCCTTTCCATATTGACCTTGCCGAAGTCAGTCATTCAATGCTTTTCCCTCCAGTCCCTTATTGATATCTTATGTACTCTTACCAAATTATCCAGGGTTACTTGAAGGCTATGAGGAGAAATATTACTGTACTTGTCTTTTTCTCACCTTTCTTGCTCTAGACACCAAGTTATAGTGAGGAACTTTGCTTGGAGGGACTGCATAATCTTTCATTGTGGGTGCAACTCATTGAGATTCTCGACTCAATGATGCTACTGTACCTCCAACTGTGCACGTTGTATAGAAAATACTGAAAACTGTCTGACCTTGTTGCACATTTGCCTACCTGTGTTGTCGTGAACTGAATCCATCATAATGGGTACCCATTCTCTTTGGTTAATCCTTGCAGCTAGGCTTTATGAACTGCACACACAAGCACCACATCTTCAATTCAGATAAAAAGCCTGAGAGCATCATCTTTCTAACTTTGTTATGGTTATGCATTTCAGCAGGGGCTCCAATTTCGCTGAGTGAAATCATGTCTTTGAATGATGGGAACTAACTAATCCATTGGTTATCTCTAAAGTTACCTAGACTGTTATGTTAACTGTAGGTACTTCTAGTCTTCTACTTACTTAGAATAGACTGTTATGTTAACTGTAGGTACTTCTAGTCTTCTACTTACTTAGAACAATGCACATCCATTGGTGACAATAGACAATTTTAGTGCTACCATTGAAGAGCCTTTTTCTGAAACCAGGTCCCTGACTATCGAAAAACAAGGCAAAATGGATACCTTCAACAAGCCACTTGCTAAAAACCAAGCTAAGCGAATAAGTTACAATCTTTAAATAACAGTTATGACCATTTTTAGCCTTGTAAAACCACTGTAAATAAACTCAAATACCAACCCTTTATGGGGCAATTACATATAAGCAAGACTAGCTTATGAATTACACTTTCATAGCACAAATTACATAAACTATGTCCCAAAACTTAAATACCACATGCAACGAATCTAAACAAAATTTTAAGGAATAAAATCAACTAAACAGGGAATTAGAATGCCAAATTAAAATAGGGAAGCCATGTTTCAAACCCCCTGTGTTGGGGCCATACAATCGGGTCCTATAAAGACTTAATTTTATCCCTTCGGATTGTACAAAAGTGGTTCAATCTCACAAGAGTGTCTAATCCAAATGAGAAGCAATTACACACCTTAAAATCACTTCTTAATATCTCAACACATTAGCATTATCATCCAAAACAGAATGCAAAAAGTTTGAATCGAATTGGATAAAGAACAAGAGAGTTATGGCCATACTACACATGGTGGTCTTTCAGACCACCAAAACAGTTTCGTATGGAAAGATTATGAACCCCTATAGGTAAAAACGTGATGAAAAAGTTCTAAAAATTGAGTGACACTCTGAGACTAAATTATTTGATGGATTTGAAGCAAAGTAATCAATGGATGCTATGCGTGATCATAGATTCTCATGCATATAGGCTATAACTCATGAAGGACCACACTATGAAAAAGCATGATGAAAAAGATGATCAAATAGGGATTCTAAGATTAATGAAACTTTTGTAAATTCAAAACTCCAGCAACTATAGATTCCAAGAATATGATCTTATGAGAAAAGAAAATTAAATGGAGTTTACCTTGATAAATGCACACTATGCAAGCATAAGAAAGGAGGACCACCATCAAAATCACCATTAATGGAACTCTAAAAGCTCTCTCTCTTCAATTTTCTCTCACAAAACCTTAGAAGAAGGGAGGGGGGCAACAATTTTCTAAAATAGTTCAAGAGTTGAGATAGTTAGGGTTTGAGATTTCATGATGTGCTTTTATAATATGGGTGTAACTTTGGACTCAATCAACACCCTTGAGAGGCTATCCAAAGGCACATGAGAGGCTAATGTACCTAATCACCCATCCCCATCCAACCATTATGATGAAGGGATGGGATTTCACACTATTATCACTCACCCTAACCCTAAATTATGCCACTTTTATCATTTTGTCCTTGGCCCATGTTTTTGTTTCAATTGTATCCAATATGGCCTTACAAAAATACCTTTAGTTTTTTTTTTAATAGTATATTAGAGTAGGTAACCACAAAGGCTAAAGGGGAAAGAAGTAATTGGCAAAGCTCACACATGTGGAGATATTCTACTTTATCAAAGCCAATCACTTTGTAGATCTAAAATTTCAAACCAATCAATTTAAAGATAATGTCTCCTTCACACATTTGTGTGAAGATATTTTTTAACTCAAATTTGAAAATGATTTTCTCTTTAATATCAAATAAATTAATTAATTAAACTTCACACATGCAATTGTGTGAGTTAATTAAGACATGTGATAAAAATGGGGCCTTAAGTTATAACATTATATAACAAAATATAACAATATATAACAAGACACCATAACACAAACCCTTATAAAACAAGCAACCAATTGCCAATTTGGTCCCTCGCTTAGGGATCAGCGCACAGCTGGGCGGTGATCCTAAAGTGAGGCGTGGGGTGCCACGTGGCAGCCTTATGGCCACTCGGACGCCACATGGCACTACCAGATCAGGACTAAAGTGGAATTTGAGTCAAATAATTTGAAAAACCTCATTTTTTTAGCAAATAAAATTTTCAAAAATTCTTTAAAATTCACAATGAATATTTAAAGTATTTTTGAGCAATTATTAGGTTTTTCTCATCATTATAAAATCGGACAAAAGGTATAGTGAGATCTCAAGCTTAATAACTATAATTATTGGAGTACTCCATGGGGCTAGTCCCGAATGATGTTCCGTCGAGTCTCAGATCGACCCAATAGACCTATGTTCCACAGTCTAAAGCAGGGACACATAATTGGCCATATCAAAGCCGTTGAGCCAAAACTTCTAATCGTCCGGCTCTCAATGGATTATAGGTGTACCCCTGTGGGACATGATCTAACTCAATTATAGGGGTCCTTTCAAAGCATATGTGCACTAACTCTTCCAAACTCGAATAATGCATTTGGAAGAGTGGCTTCCCGTACGAAATGAAAATGCACATGCCATGTAATGGTCTCGTGTCAGGATACGGACTTATGTCCCATAAGTCTTGACCATTCCATACATGGTGAATACTCAATAAGTACTCGTGTTCTATTTTTTTCGTTTGGATTCTCCAAGCCCTGGCCGATTGCAGCTGAACATGAGGTTAACATAGAAAATCCTGACTAGGAGGTGACCCTCACACCTCCTCGAGAAATTGCTTTCTCAACACATGAACTCTCTATGCCTCATGCGTACTCGGGGTAAAAGAATCTGGGCTCCATTTCGCAAGACATCAAGATTTCAATCTCTCAATCGCTTCCACTGAATGAGAGATTATTGGAATTTAGGCCTTGATAGGTCATATTTCCAACAGTCCCTACACCCAATTACTTTGAAAATTAGACTGTCCATCTACATCCACTGTGTTGTTGGTCATGATCTTCTGCTGATATTAGGTGCCTGTTCCCAGTTACCATATGTTCCTTTAACCACCTCTGTTTGGTCCGCTAGAGAACAACAAAGTTGAGCTTGATCCACACAAGGATCATATCTTGGAAAAATCAAATCCCATGTACAGCCTGCATTGTCCAGCCTTCATGGCCAACTAGGTTAAGGTTCTGCTTAGCATCCAAGTAATTTTGCTCTGTTTCCTGATATTTTCTTTATGCAGGACAATCATAAGTCTTTCTAGCTCAGATATGGTTTAGAAGTATCTACAATTTCATAGCAAATACTTTTGGTTAGATAGACACCAAAAAGAAGTTCCCCACCTATTATTGGTTGATCAAGAAATATGATGTTGCTTGAGATTGAAGACAAATACTTGCATGGCTTCATAGATTAAAAATGTATAGGAGTCCACGATGCAGACACCCTGGCCAAAGCAGCAGCTACCGGTGAAGGACTTCTTTGATTTTGAATGGCTCTCTTCGTGAAGGACTACTTGTATTTTCGGATGGGTTTCGTTTTGTTGGTTGCCTTGTTCTCAATGTAACCCTTTAAAAGATGGCCTTTTAATTCTGTCTCCTCTCCTCCCTCGTCTCTCTCTCTCTCCCCCCTATACCTCTGCAAGCTTCCTGTGACTAGGTGCTACTATCTTATCTTGTTGGGACCCTTTACTCTCTATAAAAGTTAACATTCTAAAAAAAAAATGAATAAAAGTTTGGCTGATGTTGGGTGTTGTGTGTAGTACCCAGATCTATAAGTACCATTATAGTGTTCCAACTAGTTCGTTGAGCTTATGTTATGGGTCACATTCTGGGATCTCCCAACATAGGTGGTGATCCTGCTTCGGAATTTCGCTCTGGCCCTCTAGGAAAGGGATCTCGACTTTTAAAGTTTGGGATTTTGATTCCCACTATTAGGGATCCTGATTCCTACTGGTAGGGATCTCGATCTCAACCTTAAAGACCAAGACAACAATTAAACTGATGATTTTCTTTATTTATAGCCAGCTAGCAACACAATTATAGTTTTAATATAGTTCCATTGCTTATTTATTATAAATAAAGAGACCTTTAAATAATATATACAGTCCTAGGATATACATACTCTTTAAGGTTGGGAGCAAGTTCCCCAAAAAGGTTGGGATCATGATTCTAAAAGGTCGGGATCAAGATCCCGAAAGTGTTGGGATCTCAATCCTTAACATATGCATTATACGAACATCACTCCTAACCATAGAGATCTTGTAGTATTTCACGATCCCCCAATCCTGGTTCTGATCCTAACAATTATGTTATGGGCATTTATTAGATGGAAAAGTATAGCCTCCACATCATGTAAACACTTGAATGGTGCACAAGCACCCTTTCAATGGTTTAGATTGAATCTGGGCTAACCTAAGGGCCATAAATTGATTTTGTCTTTTATTTTTTATTTTGTTCTAGACTTTATTCACATGAAATTGGGATGTACATGCATCTTCACGAGACCATACTCAATAAAAGTGAAAGAAATAATTCAACATAATTGACCAAAATACCCTGAAACATTCATAGTTATTTTGTGTCAATTTTTTACTTTTTTTTTTTTGTGTTTTTATTTGGTACGCCCTTGTTTGATGCATGGACGTCCCAATTTTCATGTGGATAAAATTTTGTATAAAAAAAAACGATTTTGCCTCTTGTTAGGCCCAGATTCAATCTGAACTTTTGAAGGGTGCTTGAGCACCCTTCAACCGTCCACAAGATGTGAATGCTGCATGATCCCTTACTAGATTTTATGCCATTCCAACAACAATTTCTATCATGAGCTAAGAGTGTCATACGTTCATGAGAAGATATCAAGCAATTGTATTTTGGTACTACAAATCAATTCTAGCTGTTGGCAATTTTCATGCCGTTAGAAATCCAATGAAAAGGAAAAAGCAGTATCCATGTCAATGGATCATTCAATGAAATGGTATCAGATAGTAGGCATCTTGCAATTTTGTTCTTGAAAGTTTACTTGGTTAAAAAAAGGGGAATCTTGGGTAAGAGGTTCTGGTCTTAGATTTGATAGAACCTTTGCCATTCAAGAATGGGTTAATGTGATGAAGATGCCAAAATTTATCATCTGGCTCAAATTAGCACTATTTAATTGAGCTGTTTATTTTTCTTTATCCATTAACATCTAATTCAATGCTGTGTCATACATTTGAATTTGAAGCATAAAAGATGTCTACTGCCGAAAACACTTTCTCAGAAGATGGTAGTGGTGGGTGATAAATTGAACCTTTTATCGAGAAAAGGTGAACAGGTAACGTGATTTTGGATTGCCTTTTTTTACATCCCATAGATGAATCAAGTTTAATGTTAATTTCTTTCAGCATTCATAGTTATTCATTGTGATGCTTTACACTAAAGTCTTCAGTTTTCTCATAGATATAGAGAGGTTTGAAAATGATGCAAGTAAATTTCAAGAGGAAAGCTGAATTTAAGGTTTTTATTTTTATTTTAAATTTAAAGCACGGAATTGTGTTTCTTAGTTGTTACGGGCAGGGTGTTCAAATTTTTTTTTGTTTAGGTTTAACATGGGTCTTTTTTTAAGATCTCGTTAGTTAGGTTCCTTCAATTTGGTGGGATAACTATATAGGTCAAGTTGAGTTTAAGGCTCACGTGAGGGTGCAAGATTATAGGAAAGAAAGAAGAAAGGAATTAGGGAGAAGTGCAGAAGGGATAATTTGAGTCCTTGTTACGTGGGAAAAGAGAGAGGTATGCAAGATGTCGGGTGGGCGGGAGAGAGAGAGAGAGATTTGGAAGTTAATTTTTTTTAGTTTGTACATTTAGGAAGGACATTTCGGAATGAATACATCAGAGGGAAGTTCTATAGGACGACTATAAGACTAGTCATGCTTTATGGGATGGAATGTTGAGCAGTCAAGAAACAACATATTCATAGAATGAGTGTAGCTGAAATGAGGATGTTTCGATGGATTACTGGCAAGACAAGAAAACATTGGCTCCAATAAGCAATAAGATAAGGAAAACTAGACTTAGGTGGTCTCAGTGTTTTAAAATGCGGCCGCATCATGCGGGATGTGCTCGCATCCGCATAAAAAATAGGCGCATTTGCGCTTTTGACAAATGCGGCTGCATATGCGCCACATCAGGCCGCATCGTAGCCGCATCCCACATAGGCCGCATTGCACTGCATCCTACTGCTACAGTGTCCACCAAATTTTTTTTCTGTTTTGCCCCTCGGGGAGGGGTAAAATGGTCTTTTTGACGATCCAAATGTTGGGAAAACTGTTTGGGGGGGGTATTAGGGGCCCTAAATGAAGATTTTTAGCCACTTTGTGGCTTTTTTTGCATTAAATCGAGGTAAAAAAAAATTTAGGTGGAAATATGCTTTTCATTGAAATCTTCGATTTGGCAGTTGTTTGGTACTTGGATGTTTAGTGGATGCCTTTGATAATTGATTTGGAGATGTTAGGATGAATTTGTGATAAGAAATCAGGGGTTTCAGAGGTCGTGAAGAAATCGAGCAGTGCTTCGCAGAGTCGGTAAATTTTTTTTCTTTCTTGTACAATATTACTATTATACATATTTTTGGGGCAATATCTTCTTCCCAATCTTCTAGTAATAAGGATCCGGCTTGGAAATATGCTAAACTAAAAAATCCCAAAGATAGACATTGTGTGATATGTTTGCTCTGTGGAAATACTTATATGGGTGGATAACTGGATACAGAATCTCCGACAGCTGATAGTTTTGAAGTCAATCATTAAACTAAAATATCTACTATCACATAAATTACCTTTATATTTTTTTCTATGTAATCACTTATTTTTTTAGATTTTTTAGAATTTTTTTACATTTATTGACCGCATCATCGCGATGCACCCGCATCCGGGCCGCATCGCCACATCATCCCCCCACCGCATCAGGGCCGCATCCCGCATTTTAAAATACTAAGTGGTCTGGCCATGTGCAGCGTTGACCTAGAATAGAACCGGTTAGGATGGGCGATTTGGTTCAAGTGGAAGGCTCTAAAAGGGTTAAGGGAAGGCCCAATGGAATATGGATGGAAGTAGTGAGAAGAGATATGATGATGGTCTGACTGAGAGTATGGCCCTTGATAGAGCGGAATGGTGGAACAAAATTCATGTAGCTGATCCCAAATGGTTAGGAAAAGGCTCAGATAATGATGATATTTAGGAGGGACGTTCCCCTGAGAGATTTGGACTTGATTATTTTTGTGAAGAGTATTTTTTTATGAATGTTCTTCTTTCCTTTGGAGTGGTTTACAGCCATTTGTTATTATCCTTTGTTGCTATTCATTGGCTTGTTCTAAGATTGAAAGAAGACCGGATTTAATTTCCTGTACTCCTTTCGCATCAGAAAATAACATTTGGTAGTTTGTTATATATCTATTTTGTAAGCTGACATGATAGTTTATTCATAAACAAATAATTAGCGATGTGAATAATTGGTGGGTGAACAAAGAGATCTACAGAGTTTTCCAAAGCCCATGCATTTCAAAGTCACTTTTGGTTGAAGTTTTTGTTTGTGTGTTGGGAGAGAGGGAGAGAGGGAGGGAGAGTGTGTGAGAGGGGCCATAACCACAAGTGTCCACACATTTAAAGTAGGTTATAAAGTATATTGTATGGCATATATGCATATGTATTGAATGTCAGGCAAAATTGTAATCTGGTTTCTGTCATTCTTCTAAAGGCATGTGCGATTTTTCCCATTATTGTGGAATTGTGATAATGTATGTAGCAAATCCTAGGACTCCTAGTTATCATTTTGATTCCCTCAGTTTAGAGATTTAATCCTTTTTATTTCATTTGATGAGTTCCTCTTACTGTGGAAATATTTGGTTGGGATATTGGTTGAGCTTCAAGGTTGTCATTTTATTTCTAACCATAAACGGTTATTTCATTTCTTGACTTTATCACCCCTTCCCAGGGAAACTTTCAAGGATATGAAGATGCGATTCATGACATTTGTTTCAGTTGTACATGGTAAATTGACTCTCTCTTCCGCATCTCATAGTTTATGTAGATCATGATTTTCCGTAAGTTGGTGCCAGACCTTACTGACTTTTCCAAAAATGTAAGGTGTACCTCTCTCTCTCTCTCTCTCTCTCTCTCTCTCTCTCTCTCTCTCTCTCTCTCTACTACTATATATATATATATATATATATATATATATATATATATATATAAGTGTGTGTGTGTGTGTGTCCCTGTCTCTGTCCATCCTCTCTCTGCCCCTCCCCCCCCCCCCTTCCTCTCTCACAGCCATTAATTGAGCATCACAGCTCGAAAACTCAAAAAGTCGATTAGAATATCAATAAAATTTCACACCACCTTTTACAATAGACACATAATAGTCTCTTAATAAGTACATGAAACACTAAAATTAACTTGAGATCCAAGTAAACAATTTAAGTCTACAATACTCTTAAAAAATATTAAAATTTTCAACAATAGCCATGTAAATAGTAATCCGTGAAGAGTGCCTGTGAACAGTATTTATGAATAGTAACTAGAGAATAGTAAATAAATAAAAAAAATAAAAATCATGTGCTGGAGACATCATCAACAGGAGTCCATCAATCACCCCTGGTTAGAAGAAGAACTTGTCCTCGAGTTCTTTATGAGATCCCTTCTATTTAAGATTGATGTTCTACATGCTTTGCAAACCCTTTGTACTTTTGACCTCAGTACCTCACTTTTGGTAGTTGGTGGTTAGTCCTACCATTTGCTTTGGCACTCTTTCATTGGATCTTATTATATTGCCTATAAGGTTGAATAAATTCCTTCACAAAGTCTTTATGTTCGCTGCGTCATGTGGTATCAAAGCAGGCTTGATCATGCTGGATTAGAGATTTGATAGCTGCACAAGTTCCTCGAGTCCTAAGTTGCACAGTGGACAGCAGGTTTGACTCAAAGGTTGGATTGACTGATGGATCCATCGAGTTGCAAACCTTGAAGGCATCTTTGGTGAGTATGAGTTGCATGAGATTTGCACCAACTGCCCCACAATTCATGGATATTTTCTAGAGACTTCATAAGACAATCCGTTTGTAGGTGTCTTTTTGGGTTGCAAGACTGAATGACTACTTGTTGACATAATTGGTAAGCCTATGTATGACAAGGATCCAAGTGAAGAACATGATCACTACTTGTTGAGATAATTGGTGAGCCTTTGTATGATAAGTATTCAGATGAATAACATGTGATCAAAGAGGTATATGATGAAAATCTTATTTTTTAATTTTGAACAGGATTTTAAAGACATCTTATCTGAAGATGATTGCTATCCTCTTGATCATTTTTGCAAACAAAACACATATTAACTAAAATCTTCCCTCTCTTCCTCAACTTATCCACCATCTATCCATCGATAATCTCCAAAGGAAATCCTGCACCTTATCTAATATCGCCCATTTCCAAATCTCTGCCAATTCTGGTCTTAACCCCCTGTACCTATCAACTGACAACTAATGATACAATGATTTCATTGTGAAGAGATCTAATCAATAACAAGGTATGACACTCTGTTATATCGACCTCTAAGATTCCATGAAGTCTGAAAGTCCCCACCCTAAACATCTCTAACCACAAAACTTGATTCTCCATGAATCTGAACAGATATGGGAATCTGAATCTCAAGGCCTGATCTCCTAACCATTCATGGTATAAAAAAAGAATACTCTCACCACACCCAAGAATGTACCTAACATTCCTCAAGAACAGCAACCACAATGAAGATCCCTTTCCAAATAAAGGAACTCTTATTTATACATCTCCCATCCCCAATAAGAGATGAAGATCTATCAACGCCAAATTTCGCTTGCAAAACTTGCTTTCACAATTGATTGTTCCCTTGAGTGCATCTCTATATGATTTACGGTTCAATCTTTAAGATATTTTTCAAGCTCATCATCATCTAAGCCTTATCCCAATTATTTGGGTTCAGCTACATGAATCATGTTTCTTCATACTTCTCTATAATGGGCCATACTCTAAGTAAAAGCAAAAATAACCATATCTTTTCTCACTACTTTATTCATGTCCTTTTGGGCCTTTCTCTTGCTCTTTTGGAGACTTTCACTTGAATCAAATCGCATCTCCTTAATGGTGTTGTATAATCTTAGAGATATTGTTAATATGGGTAAACCAAAAAGAAAGATTGTGGGGGGTGGAAAGCTCCAATTCACAGGTTAGTGAAACTGAATTTTGATGGTAGCTCGGTTTGCAATCCTGGACCTCCGGGTGTTGGTGGATTGATAAGGGATCACATGGTTTTGATCTTGCCAGTTATTCAGGACCGTTTGGGGAGGTTTCGGCGAATGAGGTGGAATTGAGATCTCTTTAACAAGCCTTCATGCTATCATCGATAATGGCCTGGGGAATATTGTGGAGATCAAGGGTGGCTATGAATTTTGTCAGCTGGTGTTGAGCTGAATGGAATGTTCCTTAGACTCTGAGATCTATTTTTTTTTACTACTGTGAGAGGATTAACACTTCTTTTTCATATGTTTATTGGGAATTAAATATGGAGGTTGATGATTTAGCCAAACAAGGAGTCGGAAAGGTGGAGGTGCTTGTGCATATTTCTTGATTTCTTTGTATTTGTTTTGCGAGTTCGTTGTAGTTATGTTGTTATAATTATGTTTACTGATTAACAAAAATTTTGGAATGACTATGACAAGAAAAAGAACCATACACATTTTTGGTGCGTTACATATGGTATGCTGCAGGGGTTTCTACGTCCATTTCCGGTAATAACTGGCCACGGTTAAGCATGCTCTGGTGAATATTCATCAGCGGGAAACATGCTTAATCTTGAAGACATCCACCACGAGAATGGACGGAGCATGCCTCTGTGGCGTACCTTAGACCCCTATAACAATGGTGTATAATATGCTTGTGTACATTAGTGCATTCCAAACATTTATGGTATGTGAATATGTGATACACAGCTGGGTTTTCTGCTGGTCCCCAACAGGTGGAAGGAAAGTAATATGACTGGGCAGTTACGCTTGATCTCTTCACTTTCTGTTGCCGACAAACATTGACGGTGTGACCTGTCGTGTCACATATCATTCATAGGCTATGGATAATAAATACCCTTCATAAGCCAAATATATCTCCCCTTCATTTTTTCTAAGAACGGGGTTTTATTCCAGACGCACTTATTCAAATGCATCAGCTTTCAATAAAGTATCATGAATTTTGGACTTAAAAACTTTGGTTAATGTTAACCAACACCATGACAATCAATCTAAAAACAAAAAGAGAAAAGAAAATCAATATTAATAAAAGACTAATTTAAATTTTACTTTTGGACTTTTTATTTTAATTCTTAGTCGACAATCACACCTACACTAATTTTTGAGCTGCAAAAATCATGGGACTAGAGCAGAAATATATCTAGACTGGCTTAAGATGTGTTTAGATCCGAAATGGATATTTGAGGGCATGTTTATCATTTTTAAAATCTACTTCTAGAAACAAATTTCACAGATATTTTTAGCGAATTGGAAATATATTACATATCCCTACCCGTCCGTATGAAATAGATTTTGTACAAAACGTAGCTTATTTCTATGACGATGGCTCATTCCTTAAAAATTGGGTGGAGCCGCTTTCTCATCCTAAATATTGCGCTTTAGGATCGATTTTTTTAAAGAAGATCACATTGAATAATATATCATTAGTTTTTTCCATTTTTATAAATACTTACTTATTATAGATCTCTCTCTCATGTTTTATAGTTGTAATTTCCAATATTTTGTTTTCTTAATTTGAGCATTTTAAACAGAACAAAGTTTGACTTCGATGTATGGTGGGCTGATGGGTGATTTGAAATTTGCTACCATTACTGATTACAAGGTAGCATTAGTGACTGCAAAAAAGTTTCGATACCATATGATTTCAAATTTCAAATTTCTTTGTGATATTTTTTTGTCAAATTGTAATCGACCAAGTGACAATTTAGTCAATTGCCATTTGTTGCTTGTGGGTGTTTGATTGGTTCATTTGAAATGCAATTTGTCGTGTTGTGGAGTGAAATGGTGGTGAAAATGACGGTGGTGAGCAGGTCGAGTGGTAATAGTGATGGTTGTGCAGTGGTGGTGGTGGTGGTAGCTGTGTGATGTGGGTGTGTAGTGCTGGTGGTGGAGTTGGTGTGGCAGTAGTGGTGGTGACGGCAGCTAGGTAGTCTGCCGTCACTGGTGGAGTAGGGGTGGATAGACAACAACATTGGTGGTGGTGGTGGTTGTGGTGGGGGGAAAGAGAGAGTTTGATTATTATTATTTTTCTGTTGACTACTTTGCATTGTTTTTGCGAAAAAATCATTCTTGAGGCTCAATTGGAACCAAGAATCAATTCATATTTGAAAAATGAAGAGGTCAAATGGTTGGTGAGAAATTTCCAAATTAGGAAATCAAGTGATACATTTAAAGTACCATACTTAAGGTTCATTTTTAGCTTTAGAGAAAAAAAAAAATCGGCATCAAACATAATTTGGGGCTGAAGGTTATTTTTGGTTATAGAAAATTTGGTGGTACAAAACGGAATAAGATGCTGAATTCTAGACTTTATAACTTAGGGTGTACAATATAACCCAAAAATGGTAGGTAAAGTGCAATGAAAGTAAGGTGGAAATCACTGTGAATTATGGCAGAAATCATGGAAAAAATCATAGGGAATTTCGGCAAGTTTTGGAATATGGGTGCGTTTTGCATAGGGATTGCAATAATCCTTGCAACTCTGCGGTCTCCCCCTTTTGCCTCTGACATGCATCACATTTAACCTCTTACTTCTTTGTATCTCTTTAATCCCTTTCCAATAAAAGGACCTTAGGATTTTCTCGTAAGTTTTGCGAGCGGTTGGGGACTCATATTAACTCCATCAACAATATGTTTTTTTTATAGGCCGAAGTAGGTGCCAACACTATCCTGCCCTAACTGTGCAACAACCCTTCCCTCCAACTATAATTGAGCCTTGCCATGGGACCATTTGTATGAGGTCCATCCATTGAGTTCAAGGCACCGATATGGTACAGAGAGTTGCTGCCTCTTTATGCTGTTGTGAGAGTGCATCGACCACCCCACATTTTCTTTCTCGTTTCGATATACTTTCTCATAAGTCATAGCCCATAAATTTAGTAAACCGCTAATGTTGCTCCAGAGTAGAGCTTCTCTGTTTCAAGAAATATTTTAGGATTTGATTATCTGTATAGATGGTGAATCGTTGCCCAATCAAGTAAGGTGGCCATTTGGTAGCTGCATGAATAATAGCTTGCATCTCCTGTTCATATGTTGAAAGTGCCAAATTCTTATCAGAAAAGAGCCTTTCTAATGAAACCCCATGGCCATCTCTCTTGCACGAGTATGGCACCTATTTCTATCCCCAAGGCATTTGTTTCTATGATGAACCGTTTTGAAAAGTTGGGCAAGGCTAATATAGGTGTTGTGCTCATCAACCTCTTCAAAGCATCAAAATGCCAACTTGGGATTTAGAGTCCCATAGAACTAGTAAGGGGGCACTACTTTTGCTACAGCCTTTGATATACTTTCTATAATATTCAGTGAGTCCCGAGAAACTACGTAAAAACTTGATGGTTTTAGGGATAGGGCAGCTTACCATGCCCTCAATTTTGGAGTCTCTTTTGACTCCTCCGTTGCTTATGATGTGGCCTAAGAACTTGAACTCTTGTTGCTCAAATAAGCACTTAAGAGCGCTTGAGGTGGAGTTTATATCTGTGCATGCTAAGTGGTCCAAGTGGTACTGTAGATGACAATATCATCAAAAAATACCAAAATAAATTTCCATATGTATGGTCTGAATACCTTAATTATTGATAGAGCATAAGTCAACCCAAAAGGAAAAACTAGGAACTCATAGTGGTCCTCATGAGTTCAAAATGCAGTTTTGGGAATATCATCCCCCAGATGAATTTGATGGTATCCAAATCGTAGGTCAAGTTTGGAGAAGTATCGGGCACCTTGGAGCCTATCAAGTAATTCATCAATCACTGATATGATAAATTTATCCTTGATTGTGACTGAATTCAATGCTTTATAATCCACACACGTGGTCCACGAGCCATCCTTTTTTCTTACTAAGAGCAGTGGTGAGGAGTATGGGCTAATACTCGAGTGGATGTTGCCAGGCTCCTTCACTTCTTGGACAAGCTTTTCCATCTTAGCCTTTTGCATGAATGGATATCGATATGGCTGAATATTAGGTGGTTGAGTTCCTAAAATCAAGGGAATTGAATAGTTATTGGAGCGATGGGGAGGTAATTCCTTTGGTTCCTCAAATAGGTCCGAATACTGCTCAACCAATGAAGCAACCTAGGGTCCTCCACCTTTTCCTCCCCATAGACAAGGAGAAGAGCCGGGCAACCATTTTCGAAGAACCCTTGCGAACTAGTCTCTCCATGCAATGAGAAATGATCATCTTCATTTCAATGGCTTGTACCCCTTGCAGTGTGTATTGTTGCTCTCAATGGTAAACTACATCCACAACTCAGAAAAATCCCATAAAATGGGTCCCAGTGTCCGTAGCCATTGAGCCCCTAAAACAATGTCACAGGCCCCTAAGGGTAGAGAGTGATATCAAGCTTACAATGGCAATCTGCCATAGTTAAAGGTACATTCCTGGTCTTACCCTTACAGGCCAACTTCCCACAATTAGCTCTCATGTTCTGAAAATTTTCATATGGATAAGTGCATAGTTCAACTTGCTTTACTGAATCATTGAGTTTGGTGCGCAATTGTTTTCTTACACACCCCTGAACTCACATGGTTTGGGCTGAATTAATCCTAGCTAGAGCATGCTTCAAAATTTCAAGGCTCTCTTCCTCTTGTATAGTGGATCACCTCCTCCTTATTTTGCCTTGTTTTCATCAACGGTGTCACCATCCAACAAATATGGTGTTTGATTTTTGCATCTATGTTGAGGGACTGTGTTTTTCATAACAATTGTAACGTAGCCCTTTTTCTCGCTGTTCTTGCATCTCAACCTGTGTTAGCCATTTGATTGGTGGAGTAGTATACTATGTAGGAGTGCCGACTGCAAGGACTTCACTTATTTTAGTGGATTTCCCTTATTTTTGACGATTGAGCCATTATTTTATCTTCCTGAAGTCAGGCTAAGCCATTGGCCTCCAACATTATTTTAGGCTTAAGCATACATACATCATTTCTAATTTCTTCCTCGAGTCCACTAACAAAGCAACTTGTAAAAAATGCATCATTAAAACCAGGGATACAATTTGCTAACGTCTCAAACTGAGTTGATACTCACTAACAGTGGAAGTTTGATGTAGCTTAGTAAGGGCTCATGCGAAGTCCTCGAATTGGCTAGGGCCAAGCCTGATGCAAAGAGCAGTGACAAAGTCTCGCCATGTTGTATGGGCCATTGGTCACTTCGTACCATTTGTGCCATTGTATTGCTTTATGCTTTAAATGAAAAGAGGCCAAATTGACTTTTTGTTCGTCTGGAATTTGGTTAAGGTGAAGAATTGCTCTGCGTAATACACCCAACTTGTTGGATTCTCGCCGTCAAATCGTGGACAGCCGATCATGGGGAATGCATTGGGAATATTGTATTGTTGTTCATGAAAAATGTGACGTGGGCTTCCCAATGTCTAGATTGTTCATTAGGTGACTTGAAGGCCGAGACCTCTTATTGAAACTTTGAAAAGGAAGTTTCCATCTGGTCATATTTTTTATCCATGGTTGCTTTGAGAGCCCAGATCTCTCCCAATGCACGTGATTGCTCAATAGAACTTTCTTTAATTTGTTTCATCGCTTGTTCTAACTTTTGTACTTCTTGTAATCAAGTTCCGTCAGCCATAATTAAGCAAAGGGCCAAGGATCAGCTCTGATACCAGAGGTAAGAAGTCCCACGAATAAGAAGACTAAAAACAACGGTAAGAAAAATATTTTATTAAGACAGTAAGGGAAAGGGTAATGCCACTTTGAGGGGGGCAATCCTCCTAGATAACAGTCACAAGTTCAAGATTGTCCCTTCCATACATGATACACACTTATATAGAACCTCCAAAGTCAAGAAAACTCCCAAATTAATAACCACTAACTCAAGAACTCCTACATTTAATTCTAGTCAACAGAACTCCAAATTCATCATCACTAACTCTTAAGTCTCCAACCAATTTATTGAAATCAACACCCGCTCAATATTCAAATGAAACTCGCCTACCCATTTATTGAATCGTAACCCCTGGTCAAGAAAACTATCCTACCCATTTATTAATTTCAACACCTAATTAAAAAAACTCCTAATTTGTCAAAACTCTAAATTGATTCCAATAGATTCATTAAAGTACCACAACCAAGTAAGGGATGTCATATTCTTTAAACTCCCTATCTATATTATATATGAGTCAGGCAGATGGAAATTTTTGACTTGAGGGCCTTTAGATCTTAGGAGAATGTATTTGGCCACAATTTTAAATGTAATGGGACGTGTTTGCTGCATATCCTAGAGAGAGAGATGTATTCCTTATTTTTGAAGGAAGAAAACTCAAGAGCTTCTATGTAGTTTTTTTCTCTTACCTTATTAATGGTTTTGATACTTAAAAACGGGGATGGCTTTGTGGTAGACCGCACGAGGTCTTTGTTTTGAAGTTTAAATTTTTTTAAAAAAAGTTCTTTGTTTTGAAGTTCTCAATTACATTTGTATAGAAGTATCATTTTTAGAAAAATAATTCATTCAGGAGAATTTAGATGTGGCATCAATAGGTTATAAGATGAGAGAGAATAGACTTAATTGGGCTGGCCATGTGTGGCATCGACCAAGTATAGCACCTATAAGAAGGTGCGAGTTAGTTCGATGGAAAGACTTGGTTGAAAGTGGTTTGGAAAGATGTGGAGACTTATAGTCTCAGAGGATATGACTTTTAGTAGAGCGAAATGGCATACTAGATTCGTGTAGCTGCTCCAATTAATAAGGAAAATGCTATGATGATGATGATTTTTAGAAAACAAAAGATCCATGCTAGTAAAAATACCATTTAAATAAATAGAAAGTAAAATTGTACATAGAGCACCTATTTGATGATGGACGGTGGAGATTAGAGCGTAAGTCATCGGGTTCATCTACCTTGCATCTTTCACAAATTTGGTGTATCATGGTCCACAACATATTAATAGTCGTGTATGACTACCATGCACTCATATCTAAGAGTGGCAATGAGCTGGTAGCTTGGCCACGCCCAATCAGCCCGGTCTCGCCCAATCAGCCCGGTCTTAAAAACCTAGGACCTGGGCCGCAAAAAGTGCCTCGAGGGATGGGCTTGGGCCAAGGTGGACCCAGTTCAGCTCGGCCCAGCCCTCATTTCTTTATTTTTTGTTTTGTTTTGTCAGGGCGGGGCCTGGGCTAGGGCCCCTTTTGCCCAGTCTTAGGAAGCTGGCCTGGTGTGGCTGACGCCCGGCTGTTGCAGCCTTACTCGTATCTTTTTGACTTCCCTGGTCGAGCCCCGGACGTTGTAGCCTTACTAAATCTTTTTGACTTCCACTCTTTTTCTAGTGTTAATGATTTTTGCAAAAGACTCTTTATCGCGTGGAAATCTTTCTGGTCTCTCTCTCGTTGCCTATTACTATCTCCTAAATCTTGGCCGTTGGTATCTTCCTTAATCTTTATCTTAAATGTTATGTCATCTAGTCCGAACCTAGCGTGGCCTGGCTTGAGCCTAGGAGGTCACGGTCTAGGCCTGGAGGGGCCACACTTGGTGGGCCCTGTTGTTGTTCGCCTTAGCTTAAATGCTATGTCCCGGCCCTAGTCCCTATAGATCTTGTCCGTGGCCTGGCTTGAGCTGAGGAGGTCATGGTCTTAGGCCTGGAGGGGCTACGCGTCCTGGGCCCTGTTGTGGCTTTGGCACACACTTGGTTCACCCTCGACCATGGGGACTCAAACCCAATCCGGCTTCGCCTTGGTTGAGGAGGCCATGACCCAAGCCCAACCCTATAGCTTTATAGGCAAGGCTAAGCCAAATAGATCAAATGAAAAAAAGAAAAAAATAAAAACACAAAAAAGAAAATATAAGAAAAAAAGGGTTAGGTGGCCTTCTAGGGCTCTACCCTTGGGCTACGTTGGCTGAACCTTGGGCTAACCTTGCATGACATTTCGTATAGTGGTGGCAATGGGCTGGGAGGTCTGACCCTAAGATACGTAGGGCTTGGCCCGACCCCAACAGGGCAAAGGCCAGGCTTAGGCTTGGGCTAGGGCCTCTTTGGCGCGGTCTGGTCCAGGCCATGCTGGCCCCTTAAAGAAAAGAGCGGGGCTACGGCCCGAGCTGGCCCAGTATGGCGCTTGCCCAAATTTTGCGATGCTGGCCCAATGTTTTAGAGCCAGGGGACTACACCGGGCCGCGCGACCAGTTCCACCGCAAGCGAAAAAGGAATCCCAATCCGTGACAAAGGAATCGATCTTACCCTGGGCGAAAACTGGGATCCCCATCCGTGATAGAAATAAATCTCCAGATGTGATGCCGTAACACCCTCCGTTCCGTTCAGTTCAGTTCATCCGTAAATTTGAAACGCGAACCATCTTTTTGCTTGGCAACTTTTTTTCCGCTTCCCCTCTCGCATCTTTCTTTACGCTTAAATCATCGCGGCTTTCGAATCGTGGACGAAAACGTGAGTCTCCTACAACTCTTCGTCCGCCCGCCCATTAATGGCGCTAACACAATAAAATAATAAAAGAAAAAACTTTTCCAAAGGGAAACTTGCCATTCTTGCCGTCACCTGTAGCTGTGGGACTTAAATAAGCGAAGGTCAATGTCAAGGCATGTGTCCCACCAGCGCAGGAAGGGGTTGCAAAACTGGTCCCGAAGGACGTTTCCTTTTTCCCCTTCTCTCTCTCTTCTCTCCTCCTCTCTCTTCTCTCCTCCTCTCGGTTTAATGGCGAGAAAGTAAAGATCCTTCCTGCAACGCCAGCTACTTGCTGTTTAGACCATGTGGGGGAAAAGCCATGACTGGTTCCCGACTCTTGGGTGAGAGATACGCTTCGGCTCCTCGGTATGGATTCTCTCTCTATTTCGTTATTGTCTAATGTCTCTGTAGCTCCTCTCTCTGTCAATTGTGTAATATATGCAGGTTTGGGAGTGACCCATTTCTTTTGTTCAGGTATTCGCAGATCAAGGGCCCGAGTAAGACCCATCTGCGTTTCTCTCACATGGTTTTTGTGGATCGGGCTACTGGACCGTCGAAGTTTGGGGCACCCACCTTTAGCAAACTTTTATGCTTTGGTGGCTGAAGACTGAGCAGGACGGACAGCGGTTCGATCGGAAAGGTTGGAGAGCTAATTTGTCTGAGATATTTTTCTTGGTATGGCGATTATTTCCAGTATTTTGAGTCTTTTTTTCCTTTTTTTTTTTCTCTTATAGTTTTGAGCATTTGTTGATTGGTTTCTTCCCCCATAGTTATAGGACTATAAATGTAAAATATATCAGTTTTGTGGAGATTTTTGCTCGATAACCTAAGTTCTGTGCTCAAAACCCGACACCTTTAATCGGAAGAAACACGGACTTTGGAGCTTAACTATATATAGTATATGGTTTGATTCTGACTAGAACAAATTTTTTTTATTTGTTGTATTTCATGAGATCGTTGGGATGACTCGCTGTTTATTGGTTTTTTTGTGTATTTTGACTAGAGAGTTTTGTGTGTTTGATCTTTTTTGCTTGAAAAATGCCATCATTTCAGTAAATTGTGGGAATAGATGCAATATGGAATCGATTATATTTGGATTATCGGATTCTCTAAAGTATACCCAATTTAGACATGGACTGAGTTGCTCTACTACTAGTTGAGAGTTGAGGCCATATTATAGCCCGCGTGTTTTGGAATAAACGTGGAGGACTAACTTTCTTTATTCACTGGTTCATGAACGTTGTAAAGATGGGAACATGAAAGGTTCTGCTGATTAGTTATGTATTAGTTCTGAGCTGATTCATGAGTTCCTAGTGTACCAATGCCGATCATCTTTCTTTAATATAAGGAAGCCAAAGGAAAACTTCGGGGTAAATCGCTTGGGTCTCCGTTTCATAGTGGGGTGTGACAAAAAATATCTCCATGTCTTCTTTTCAGTTGCAGAAGTTCCCCTTGGTCTTCCCATCTTAAGAATTACTGTCCATTTTAAATTCCACGATTGGTTGGATTTAAAGGTTATTAATTGAATTATTAATCATCTCGGGAAATCAAACTGAACCCATCTGGAACTCACATACTGTAGCGAATGAAGAACTATTGAGTCCTTGGGAGGTTCCCAAGTCAGGATAAACAATCCCATTGCTTTGTTATATGGATTGCATACAAATTGTTGAGGTGTTTTCCTAATTTTTATTAACTATGTTATTGCTTGCCAATGCCTGTACTGTAGATTTGAAATGGGATCTTGGCAAGCGTAACTTTCTCAAATTCATTTTTGGATGACTACATTACAGAGGAAAGTTTACTCATTTTAATGGCTAGGAGAATATAGAATCCAAATTAATGAGGATATCTGTGTGGTACCCTTATGCCTTCAGTCTATGAAAACTTAAAGAGTATGCTAGTATTCTATGAGCCAAGCTGTCAGTTGCTGCTGCAAGCTTAGTTTTGACATACCTCCTAGGGGAAAAAAAGTTTGTCTTGGTGGGTGGCTTAATTGGAGACCTAGGCTAGCAAACTCGGAATCCTGGATGGAACTCAGGGTGTGGCCTGAGTGAGTCAGCTCGGAGAGTCCCAGATTGACTTGCTAAGTTTGTCTTCAGTTTGCAGGAAAGGCAGGAGAAAAACCAGAAAATTTGGGGAAAATTTGTAGAAAATAGAAAAAATAGAAAAAAATATAAAATATAAAAAAGTATATACAATATTGAAAATAGCATTTATGAATATAAAAAATGTAGACTTATAAAATCAATTATAGATTTTTTTAAATTGAAAAAAATGAAAGTTACCCCAAATTTCAGGGCTGATCCTCCAATCTTTGCTCTGTGTGAAATAGATGCATGTAGTCTTGGTCAAAGTGTCCTCAGACAAATACTCCAAATTGAAACCCCATACAAGATCTGAGATTCAAGTTCGGATCTAGTTGGTCCGAGCTATTGAAAATTTGGGTGACTAGTCAATCGAAATATAAATCTCAAAAAATCAGATATTTTTAGTGTTTTTTTGTAAGAAAAAAGCCTATGATTTGATGAATTGTAAGAAATAAGCCTATGATTTGATGAATAACTCAACAATAGGCCTAGGAAGTAGTTTTCATAGGAAACTGACCTACAGTTGTGGTTTTTTCACAATTTTTCGAATGGGCCCAAATCCTGGGTTAAAGTTTTCATCTCTCAAATCCATAAAATTAATTTTCTTTTTTTCTTAAATTTGATCTATTTCGTAATGTAAAACAAGCATACCCCCAAAATTTGGGCTTGATCAGATGCTTGGATGAGAAGAAGGAATGAGGAAGGGAGGTTAGATTCAAGCCCCCCCCCCCCCCAAAAAAAACAAAGAGGAAAAACGACCCAAAAGAATTTTTTTTTTTTGGAATTCGTCGAACTTTGCAAGTTCTCATAAACTTTCCATATCCGTCAAGAAGTTATGTAGTTTTTATAGTACTCGGTTTGGCTGACATAGTTACTTGCCTCCTGAGTTGAGAAGGGGGGAAGGGGGGGGTCGGTTGGGTATTGTGGGTTTGGAGGGGTTGCTTGGCCCGATTCTGAGTGGACTCAGTCGAGTTTTCTAACTTTGTTAGAGACGATTCTGAGTAGACTTAGTCAAGTTTTCTAACTTTGTTAGAGACGGTTGGGCTGGCATAGTTACTTGCCCCCTGAGTTGAGAGGGGCGGGGGTGTTGCGGGTTTGGAGGGGTTGCTTGGCCTGATTCTGAGTGGACTCAATCGAGTTTGCTAACTTTGTTAGAGACGATCTCTAGTAATACTTGTGATTCTACATATGCTAAGGTGAGAGACATGTTGATAATCCATAAACTTTTTCTCAGGTTCCTTGCTTTTTCATGGAAATTTGCTAAAGATGGATTGAAAACTATTGTATAAGACGATCATTATTGATCAAATTAGTGAATATTTTGGATTCAAATTACTGTGGATATCAATCCACCATATTTGGAGGGCAACATCCTTACTGATACCGGCAAGATATTTTTTGAACCGGTTTATTTATCCTTTTGTATCTTTTTCACAAAACTTGCGTCTTATATAATTTTTATCCAAAGGATTCGAGTTGTAGCCATATTTCCGACTCGGATCACCACTTCGATTAGATTCCGATGAAGACATCTCAAAATAATACAAGCAATCAGAAATTTTTTTTACTAACTTTGATTGCTCGATCTCCAAAATGTTTCTAAAGACTCAAAATCTTCTAAAAAACCCTCTAATATTTATTAAACATCCAAAGCTAAATCTAATATCAATGAGTGATACTTAGATCAATTTCTCGATCATATGGAAAACACCTAAAACTAGTTTTTTGGTTTTTTCTCTCTCTAAAATAGGTTCTAATGGGGTTTAGATTTCAAATGAATCTAAAACCCACGATTTTTCCCTTTTTATATTAAAAAAGACCAAAAAATGCCGTCAACGAGGGGCATTTCCACCCTGGGCTGGGCGCGAGCCCAAGGCTGGGTGCTGGGCGGTCTGTTTTTTAAAACAATGAGCATAAGTTTGATGGAAGCTCGTCATGAGTTGACTTGTGTTGGGCGGTAGGGGCATTTTCGGAGACACTGATTTGTGTTTGCAGGGTTTTGTTACCCTTCTTAGGTCCCATTGGATAAAAGACTTCACGATGGTTGAGGCTAGGGCCTCGGTAACTGGTCTAAAGTTATATATAGGGCTTCCTTCTTTGCACCACTTACACTTTATTTCATTTCATGGGCTTCATGAGTGTCCCGCATCCATTGGCAAATGGCAGATATAATTGAAAAAGTTTTGCACTATTATCTTTGGGTGTCTCCAGCTGTTGTTCCTCTTACCATGCCCTATAAAGAGGGTAGGATGCAGCAGATAAACTAGCAAAGGAAGGAATACAACATACGTTTGTATAGATATCAGGCTTTTAATTCTGCATGTCTTTATTCTGTAACTCCATTGCTTTATCCCCCTGTACACATCTCATCTTGATTCTGTAACTCCATTGCTCTCTTCAAACCCCTGTCTCCATCTCCCCTCCCCCCACTGTGGGGGGTTAATCCAGGTTGTACCTCTTCAGTATGCGTGTAGCTTCAAGTACATCTTGATGTACAACTTTCTCTCAATGCTATGTTACTTAGAAAAAAGATATTGTGGATGTCAATGTTTTCAGTCTGCAATTGATTTAAGTAAATGCTGTTTTGGATGGCCTTACCATAAAATTGTCTGTTGCAAACAATTTTGGCTGCTAAACGACCAAGAGGTGATGAACATTAAGTTGAATCTAGTATTGGCAGTTGCTTTGATTATAAAATTCCAGCTACAACGCGTGTGGGCAGTGGATGTTGTGGCTTCCACATGAGTGGATGTTGTGGCTTCCACATGAGTGGATGTTGTGGCTTCCACATGAGTGGCTTTCCTTTTTCTTCCTTGTGGAAGAAGGGCCTGCGAAAGGCCCCTTTTCTACAAAAAGTGGAAGCCACGGCTTCCATGCTTGTGGCTTCCAAAAGGGGGTCAGTTTTAAGAGGGGCGTGGAAATCCGCATTCCCATGTTTCGGCGTGAAACATAGGCTTAAATTTCACTCGTGGGAATCTTTTGTTCACATCTTGTTTATGGCATTAGTTTCCGATCAGCTTATTAGGGAACTTTCACTCGCCACAAAGGCATGCGATGAAAAATTTTAGAAGGCTATTTTTTTTTACTGGGATGGCATTTTCTTTTATAGTTTTGTTAATTTTTTTTGAGACACTACGATTTATAAAATTTGGTTGTGGACCACCAATCCAGCATGATCAGTCTAAAGGTCGAGAAATATGAATGCCAGATGCCATATTATTGATAGGTGAATTGCAACCGCTCTTTGAGAAGTTCAATACTTTATCATTTTTGAGTGTTAAATTATGATATACTTTCATTCCACATATTTGTTAAATATCCAATTTGAAAGGGAATATGAGTGACTCTGGGAAAATTTTTGTCAATTTTATTTCTCTGATAAGTTTTGATTTGGAATTTGTGGCTTTGTTCTGTAAATTCTGCTGGTGTAATGATTATCATTGCATTTGGGGTAATGGCTTTGGATACATGCTCATAAGTTCACTGACTTTAGTAGTTTTTATCTTCCAGATTGACTTCCTTATTTAAGGATGAGCTTCAGGAAGCCCAAGGCAAATGGTCTTGAAAATCCTTCATCATTTGAAGAGCAACAACAAAAGGTAGAAAATGCAATTTAGAAATGGAGGAATTTCAGCTGAAATTGGGTTTTGGCCTCTGACTAGAAATGAATTATTGAAATATCGATCCCTTTAGCATTCATCGCTAGCATGCTCTATCCCATGTCTCATAGGTATAAAGACTTCTAAATTTATTTTTTATGATTTGTTTTCGGAAAATTTGATGTGAAGTTTATCGAAAGTTCGTGTCTTGGAAATTTTCACTTTTCTAAAGTAATTATTTAAATAAATATGGCCCTAAATTTGGTCTGAAATCTGAAGTCTCATTTGCAGGCCCTGGCCTTTGATCATATTTCTCATGATTCCGAGTTGTAAGCTCAGTCATTGGTTATTGACTTATTTCTTCTTCAAATATTTAGGATGTCGTGCACATACTGCAGACATTTTTGTCATTGACCTGTAAGGTCATTTTGTAATTGATCTTGAAGTTTGAATTGAAGGCTATTTTTCATCTGTGCATGTGTATTGAGGTATAGGTCACGGTTTCTGTTTCTGGAATCAGTTTTGGAGCTTATGATCGCAGTGGTTTCTTTTCAGATTGCTGAGGTAAGAAGGTCATTGGGAGTCTTACCCAGTAAATTGTTGATCTACTGTTCTGACGCTTCAATATCAAGGCACCTTATATCAAGGAATTGGAATGTCAAAAAGGCAATTAAAATGTTAAGGGAGACAATAAAATGGAGAATGGAATACAAGCCTGAAGATATCCGCTGGGTATGTTACCATGACAAGTGATACCTTTGATTGTTCAAATGATTCGGTTTATATGGTGATTAAAATGGTTTATCCTGCTAATAAATACATAGATCTATCATTTTCTATATGGTAAGCAGTCAGACCTGTCCTGGTTCCTTGCCGATCAAAAGAAGGTGTGAACATACAGTTTTAGAACCTTCGTTAATTTATTCTATGACTATTTTTATGACTTCCTTTTTAATGATATGTTATTCCTTCATTTTATTCTCCAGATTTGTAGTTTGTTACAAATCTGTAATATTGTTTGCCAGATTCACAAGTCAAAATCAGGACCATCAAATATTCTCTCTTTTGAAATAAGAATTAAGAAAAAAAAACAGAGAGAATCTCAACACGTTACAAAATAAGATTACAAATTTTGTGATAGGTAATGATCCTTTGAGCCCCCCCACTTACAGGCTTTATAGGACCACAATCAGTACCCATAGGATCCCCATCTGTATCTTGAAAATAGTTTAGGATCCTAGGTTACCTGGTTAAATGGTAAAAGGGGCCTTCCTGCCGTCCATTCTCTCTCTAGACTTCTATTCTCTCATTCACACCCACCGATACACCTCCCTCTCTCTCCCTTTGCTCCACACCCCCTCTCCCCCCCCAAAAAAAAAGCTACTCACGTTCCTACTCATCGTTGTCCTCTCTCCCTCTCTATCCCCCAACCCCCACAAATAGGGCTGAGAATTACTCGGTTTGGATCCGAAACCCGAAATTCAAACCCTATCCGGATCCGGCTATGGATCCAATCCAAAATTTGGATTTGAATAATAATCATCGGATCCAAGTACAGGTGGATCCGATCCGGATCCGACCTAGTTATTAAAATATTATACAGTATTTTAGATATATATATATATATATTATTTTATATTTTTATATAGTATTTTTTGTTATATATTATTTTATAAATATAAAATAATGTATGAAATATTTTTTTGGATCCGATTGGGTCTGTATCCGGATCTGGATCCCATGTATACTTTTCGGATCTGTACCGGATCCGACCCATTCTCAACCTTACCCAAAAACAACTCACATTCCCACTCATCAATGTCCTCTCTCCTTCTCTTCCCCCCCCCCCCCCCCCCCCGCCAAACAAAACAAAAAAACTATTTCTCTTTCCCATCCTCCGATGCTCTATCCCATCTTCTCTCTGAGAAAACTGATATGCTTTAGAATTTAGATTGTTCTCATGATTATTTTCCTACATTTTATCTCTTCAAAACAAAATTTAGGAAGTTAAAGCGATGCAAGATTTTGCGGGTCATCCTAGTTCACTGGCCATAGATTTGGTGGATCTTTGGTGCTTTGTTTCATATCTAGCTTTTCAGCATATGGTCGGTGCCTTAGTGATTATAAGTAGATTTTCAACAATCTTTTGCATCCATTGCTCTTTTAGTGCCTTTATTTTGATTGAATCTAATTCGGTTATGTCCTACAGAGCTGATGTTAGGCCCTTGTTCTTTTTTTAGATTTTGTATCCCTACAAGTTTCCATGAGCTTTTTGGTGAGCTTCCTCTTCTGCTGTCTAATGGAGTTTGGTGTTATTTAATGGCCTCATACTTGTGCTTCATTTTTTTAGAAGATCCCTTGATAACCCAATTGGGCTTGTTGGTCTAGGGTGTAGTTGTGGGATTGGGAGCAGGGGTCATGAAAGATTAGAGATCCCTATAGGTGGGAGTTCTATCCATCATCACAATCATAATTATCCGAGCTTTATCTTAACTATTTGGAGTTGGCCACACAATCTTGTTCTGCCATTTTGTTCTATCAAGGCCCATACCTTTAGTCAGACTATAATTCACTATATCTTTTCTCACTACTTTCATTCATGTCCTTTTGGACCTTCTTTTTGCCCTTTTACAGCTTTCCACTTGTACCAAATCGTCCCTTCTAGGTGTTGTACTATGTCTACAATGCACATGGCCAGGCCACCTAAGTCTTCGTTCCCTCAGCTTATCACACATTGGAGCCACCTCTAAGTTCCCTCATATGTATTCATTTTGAATTCAAATCTTTCTTGTCTTGTCACTCATCCATCTCAACATCCTCATCTCAGATATCCTCATCCTATGAATATGTTGTTTATTGACCGCCCAACATTATGTCCCACAAAGTATGGCTGGTCTTACAATCATCCTATAAAACTTCCTCTTAGTGTCATTGGTATGCAGCATTCGCATAAAACTCCAGATGCACATCCCCACTTCACCCACACAAACGAGCTCATTTTAGAGGTTTTTGTAGTCGTGTCTTGTAAAAGTGGGGCGAGCCTCGAGCGTACTTGCACTCGTGCAATGGGCTAAGGGTGTCTATGTGAAGTGCAAGGTGCGCCATCAAGCGTTGAACTTGCAGCGGATACTTGAATTCCAAATATGACTTGTAATAATCTATCTTTCAGAGCATACGATGATTCTTTCACTGTCTGAGGCGTCAATTTACCTATTAAAACATCACTCGTTTCCACCCAAGATCCAAGCATCACAATTATATTTCTGTCTAAATTACGGAGCAAATGAGCTTCTAAATGAGGTATTTCGTTAATTTCAGGGCCGTGGCTTGTCATGAGTCTGAATCCCATATTTCCGGATGTGAAACTAAGTCTAAATATCTCCATATACCAGATGTTCGCTAATTAGTACTGCATCTTCAAAATTGTGGCCTTCCCATGGCATATGAGCTACTAATACGTTTTTTTTTTTTTGAGATAAAATTAACATATATGAGCTATTAATACGTTTTTTTCCCAAAGGCAGCTCCCCACCAACTGTAGCCTCACCATCACCAAGACTTGTCTCTTTTTAACATATTTATCCCAATGAACTTGAGGTTTTTGATGCATATAAGTCCTTTTGTTGGAACGTTGATACATAAGCAATGGAATGCTTATGGTGTGTCCATTCCATGATAAAACGATCTTTTCAGTATCGGTATAAATGACATTTCCCTCGTGTTGGGCTATAGCTGAACACCCCGAATCTAAAGCCGCTTGGCTCTCCAACCCAGTTCCAACACTGCATTTCTCATCTGTGATATATGACTTGATAAACTATCAAAACTCAAACTAAGGACTCCCTTATGTATCCAGCCTCCTTGTGCATTTCCTTTATGCATCCACCCGTTGAACTTATGTGAATAGGTTGTTATACAGAAGGGTGGGTTATTTACTCTTATGGACGTTCCTTCTTCGAAACTTGCACTCGCGTCGCACGAGCATGTGATGCACTAGCACTCAGACTCTCACCTTTGTTCTTTGATACATGAGATTGCTATCTATACAATGCATATATTAGAGACTGAGATCCCCAAATGTTATGGGTCTCAATCCCAACCATTTAAGGATCTTGCTCCCAATATGGAAAGATATTTTTCATTGTTTTAAAAATCGCTGCCCCGATCCAGAATAGGGCGATACGGATTGGGTATCAGTTAATTCATCTCGAATCTGCTTAAAAATTGGGATTTAACCGTTTTGACATAGAGAACCGGTGTGATGACATCATAGATCGGTGTCATGACATCACAAAACGGACAACATCACCGATCCTGACGTCATCAAACCATTTGACTTTAGACTTTTTGGAAATTTTGAAATCGTTTAAAAAAGAGCCCACTGCATAGGTCAACAAAGTACAGTCACACTTTGACTTGTCATAGCTTCCATGTGTACTCTACCATCCCGAACACGTGCTCATTAATAGCATGAAGTCACCGGCTTTTATTTACCCATTTGCTCCCAAATCTCTTCAATATGGGATGTTTTGTTGAGTAGTTCATTTCATTTTATCCCATTAACCTTAGGTCCATTAACTCTCTTTCTTGCTCTTACATCTCTATTAAAATTTCTCTCTCCCTCTTACTTTTACGCCCCCATTAAAATCTTTATATTTCTTACTTTAATGCATTGTTTAAAAAAACGGACTAGTGACACGAATCGGGCACACCCATACCCGTGTCGGATCGGTGGATCGGATCAGAGAATCAGCCGAGTCGGCAATTTTTATCCCAATTTTTTTGCAAAAAATCACTATAAATCTCTAAAAATAGTGTTCTTTTAGTTTCTAAAAGAAATTAGGAGTGGTGCATTATGTACGTTTATTACTTTGTTTTTATAGGTGAATAGTGAAACGTTTTTCTGTCTAGATATGCATAACTATTATCTAGAACATAGTATTATAATATTACATCAAAGTAATTTAAATATATTGGAAAACATTTCCATATTATAAGATAAAAATAATAATTTCCCATATAAAGTAAAATTAGTTTCAATATCAAACATTTATTAATTCGCTTTACTCATCCAAAATTATCACAACCTAACTAACTATAATATTATATACTGAAATTGAAATTGTTGATTTATATTTTATAACTATTTTGTTACACAAATAAGAACAAATCTAAAATGTCTTATAATATCATCTACCTTCAAAAATATTATTTACAACTATACGAAAAAATAATATATTACATAATTTACTAATGTAAATAAATTAATAAACAACATACAAGATTTGGTTATCAATGTATAATTGTTAACTATAATATTATAATAAACATGATTCAAGAATTTCTATATACCACTTAATACTCAAAATTATATTAAAATTTTATTGCTATATAAAATAAGTTATTGTAATAATAACAAATTAGCAATAAGTATTTGTTAATATTTGTAAAATTTGTAAATATATTAATTTTAAATTACAATCTAGATTAAATATGAAAATAGCATAATCTATATAGCAATAATAATTTATTAAATAACATAGCAATTTAATATATTGAATTATGTGATTTTTTAATGTATTTATAACAATAAAATTTTCAATATAGCAATAAAAATTTAGCATAATTATATTCATTCAACATAATAATATTAATGTAATTTAAATATGATCATATTCACATAATTAAAACTTCATAGTAGAGAGCCAACTATGAGATTAATTTTATGGAATTTCATTTTGTAATTACATGTAATTAAAAATTACCTATATGTACTTTTATTTTATTGTGAATTATAAATAAATAATATTGTTATTTTAAAAAGAAAAGTAACTTTTATTTTATAAACTATTTCATTTTGTAGACCTTATAACTTGTATAAACATGAGAGAGATAGAGATATTGATGGAGACGTTAAAGTAAGAAAGAGAGATTTTAATGGGGATGTAAAAGTAGGAGAGAGAGATTTTAATAGAGATGTAAGAGCAAGAGAGAGAGAGTTAATGGACCTAAGGTTAATGGGACGAAATGAAATGAACTAGTCAGAGAAACATCCGACATCAAAGTGATGTGGGAGAAAATGGGTAAATAAAAGGAGGTGACTTCATGCTATTAATGAGCATGTGATGGGGATGGTAGAGTCCAATGGAAGCTATTACAGGTCAAAGTGTGATTGTACTTTGCTGACCTATGCAGCGGGCCCCTTTTAAGAGATTTCATAAGTTCCAAAAAGTCAAAGTCAAACTTTTTGATGACATTAGGATAAGTGATGTGTCCATTTTGTGATGTCATGACATCGATATGTGATGTCATCATACGGTTATCAGTGTCAAAAAGGCCGAATCCTGATTTTTAAGCAGATCTGAGACAACTTAACCGATACTGGATCTGGATTGCCTGATTCCAGATTGGGGCAGCGATTTTTAAAACACTGATATTTTTGTTTTGCTATCTGGCTTTAAATAAAAAAAGTCATCAGTTTGGTCGATATCTTGATCTTTATAGTCGGGATCAAGATCCCTAATAGTGGAGATCGAAATCCCAGAATTTAAAAATCAAGATCCCTCGATAATTCCTTTCTTGGACCGTACGATCGAGATTCTAGCAGCTATGGTCTAGAGAGGGAGGGTGTTATTGATGGCTTGTTGGTCTAGAGAGAGGCCTTTGAGGGACCAACCAAGGGGAGCTTTAGACATGGCATTGGTAGGCGGGTATGAGAGGAGAGGTTTAGAGAGCAAATTGCTACAGAGAGATAGAGAGAAAAAATTACTTTTTACTATTCAACCAGGTAACCTGGTATCCCCATCTATTCTCGCGGTGTGGGTGGGGATCCAAGGTAACAAATTTATAAAGCTGTGTGTGAGGGGTTCATAGGACCATTACTCTTGCTATTAATGGACTCGAAATGTTTGAGAATTATGGAATCAGAAATAAAATGATGCTTAAGGGTGGTAATCTAGTCGAGTCGATTCACAGACTCGACAGGTAAACACAACACAAGTCTGGCTTTGGACTAAACACTAGATTTGGGTCAAGTCCTGGTACATCTAGGACCTTATCAGGTCGGGTTAGGGTTCATGTTTAGGTCTGGGTCGGGGTCAACTTGACACACACACACATACACATGCACACACGCATGTGCACACACATGCAGGCACACACACACACACACACACATGCATGCACACACAGGCATGCACGCCCACACAGACACACATATATACCTAGGGGGTCGGATCCGGGTCCGGATCCAAATAGAACCTAGGCAGGTCTGGTACAGTCGATATATATATATATGGAAAACTCTTCCCAACGCCCATAGGCGAAAATGAACAGTGATTTCGCATACCCTCATCACCATCCAAATTTCATCGTACGGTCACATTTGTCCGATAGTATTTCAATTTTCATTTTTATTTCTACAAATCCAAATAACTTGAAATTTGGAGGGTGGTTACATCTTAGTGAGGCGCACTTAATAAAAATATGAAAAAAATAATTCACAAAATATAAATTGATCAAAATACCTGCGTAAATTTTCGGGGGTATTTTGGTCAATTTATATTTTACGAATTATTTTATTCATATTTTATTAAGTGCGCTTTACTAAGATGTACACACGCTCCAAATTTCAGTTCATTCAGATCAGTAAAAAAAAAAAAAATTAAATTACTACCAAATAACTGTGACCATGCGATGAAGTTTGGATGGTAATGAAGGTAGGCGAAATCACTGTTCATTTTTGCCTATAGGTGTTTTGTAGTATTCTTTCTATATATATATATATAGTAGTCGTGGG